AATTCGTTGTTACAATTACTAAAATTCACGAATTTTTAGAGTTTTTCCATACGACAGTATCGTTTTTCCCGTGGCCTTTTTTGAAAAAGTGGCAGTTACGTCTATCCTTGCCAAAAAGCATAGATGCCTCGGAATTTTTAAAAGTTTTTTTTTACTGAGTTAGGCCGCCAATAGGCGCACGTTTCACAGAGTTTTTGACATACTTTAAGCCATTTGATGGGAATAGACCGTGCATATGTATATGGGGTATGAATTAGTTGTTTAATTTAGCAGAAGAAGCTTTTTTTGAGGATGTTTTCCTTCCTGAATGATTTGCGAACGCGTCTTTGGGTCTACAGCATCGGCTCCACGTTGCTGATCAGTTTCGCTCCATTCATCATGCTTTCGTTGATTCCTGTACAGGTAATCATCCGTACTGCTTTTGATGGTTTCTTTTGACGATATTTTGAACAGTGTGATGATTTAATCTGAAGGTTTCTGTCGTCAGGGCATTATTTCGATAGCTCGCTTCAACGGGCTGATTGCATTCACCAATGCTGTATTGTCTGATAGTCAGTTTGATGTTCCTTCTGTCTCCCGAAAGAACTTGCTTTTAGCGATTCTCCCGATAGTAGCACTTAACAAGGTTTTAGCCGTTCTGAGATATCCTTTGTGTATACCGAGCATTACTATCTCTTATGGAATGCCATCATTCTGGAACCACGATGAAATGCCTCAAAATAAGGGGCCGCCCGATATACTCTGGATTTTTTGTCATTATTTCTTTTGTGCAAATTTTTCCGAGAAACCAAAGCTTGTTGAATTGTTTGCTAAAGTTTTGTGAAAGTAGCTATTTTCTGAAAAAAATAATAAGATGACTTCAGGCAAATACAGCAGAAAACGAGCCGATGCTGAAAGTGCTGTTAAGCTTTGGTTCGGGTGGTTTGTTAGGTGATGCATTTCTTCATTTGATTCCTCACGCACAACCACCAGCAGCAGCAGCAGCTCATGCACATTCTCATACGCATGAAAGTTTGGGGCATTCACATGGTCCCCATGATATGAGTGTTGGAGGCTATGTCCTTGCTGGTACGCTTGTTCCTTTATTTTTTCACATTACTGTTTTCTCTGTATGAGCTGCAAGCAGTATTTATAGATTTAAAAGGGCCATTAGTGTATAAGCGTTCTTTGTTTCATATTAGTTTCGACAGTCTTCGTACATTCAGATCGAACTCATACACACACACACAC